TTTTAATTTACAAGGGAAACTCAAAATTTCATTTGTAGCTGAAACTATAAACTTGCCTGCAAAATCCGTTCAATTAAATTAAATTTAATCACAGACGGAAAAAATGAATTGCGCGAATTTTCACGCATAAAAGAAAATGGAAAACTTTTGTTTCTTTTTTACTGAGAGTAGTAATATGCGCCCATTCCGACAGTTTTTGACAGGTACCGGTACTCATCAAATGAAGTCGTCAATTAAAAATGCTGCCCCTTTTGCATTTGAATGGGTTTGTTTTGATTTGAAGTCCATAAAGCCACACAAAGAATGTTTTGTCGATTTTTGAAAGAAGTCAAAGAAGTTGTATTTCAAAAAATCCTAATTTTACACGTGGGACATGTGCCGGGTTCTGGAGACCACAGCGCCCACAGACCATTTGGTATTTTTTGGTCTGAGGCATTGTCTCGAGGACGTACTCTTTGGTATTCCTGACAATGTGGTGGGGTTTCACCACATCGGTTTGGCGTACTACTGACTCCCAGTGTTGTTGGATGTCCTCCAGCACGTTCTGTCAGACCACCTGGTAGTTGAGTTGTTTGATTCCCTCGCTGTTGAGGGAGATCTTGCGGACCTTGCATTCTTCTCTACCCCTGCTGGCCAGGTACCCGTAATTTTTAGGACCTCTGGACGCAAACTCCACAATGTGATCTCCGTCAGGCAACTCGTCCTTGAAATCGCCAAGGTAAACTCCGAGCGATTGGTCGGGTTGTCCGGGCAGACCCCGGAACATGACGCTGTCAGTGTCAAAGTACACCACGCGCCCCTGAAACAGGTCTAGCACTTTGTACAACCGAAGACGGGCCCAGCAGGTGGTGAAGCAGGCTACAAAGATGTTGAAATTCAAATTCACTGGGTTGTCTTCGACTTCCCGTTTGTAGTGGAGTTCAATGTGCTCTTTGGTCAACACACTCACGTAACTGATGTCGAATTTGTTGCTTTCGTGAAACATCGAGAACTTTTGGCGATTGTGGAATTCCACTACCTGGGTCTTGTTGGTCCGCTCTCCGAACTTGCCCCACATGGAATTCAGCATCATTTTGGCGGCCTTGCATAGACCAGGGTTCTTTTGGATCTTGCTCAGGTCCAGTTGGATTCCTTCACGAGCCTCGTAATCGGGGAGATGTCGCAGACATTTGACGGGGTCATCACCTATGTGGGAGGGCCATCCACTGGCCTCTTCCTTTAACTTTAACCACATGTTGACCTAATCTTGGAAGAGACCGTCTGAAGTTTCTAGAAAGTGCCAGACCTCATAGATGTGCACAATCTGGTGACCTTTCTGCTCAGCTTTTTGCAGTTCTGGCGTGCACCACGTTCCGGTGATCAGCCGCTGTTCATTGATGTGAGTACAAATGTGACTGCGTTCCAGCATGGGTTCCTCCGTTTCTACCTCCACACAAGTTGCGCAGACGGGAAAAGTCAACTTCCCATTCTTATGGAGTGGTAGTACGCGATGGAACAATTTCTCCGGAGGCAACACAGCATTTGGCCAGACCAAAATACTGGGAGATGTCTGTGTGTCCCGGCTGGGAGGTTATCTCAGGATGACGTGCTGGGTACCTTGAATTCTTGTTGACATACGGGTAGAGTGACGTGAAGTTGTAATATTTTAGTTGCTCTCCGTTTTCTATGTCAGCCAGGTGGTACAATTTGACAGCATTCATTCGACCACCACAGAAGGCGTCCCGAAGCTCTAAGGGATCCACAAACGATTTCACCTCCTCTCTCTCCTTTTTCATTTGTCTCTATTCACATTCCCAGAGAGTGAAGACAATGTAATGGTCATCGTGGAGTAAGCGGAGTTTTACCTCGTTACGTTGATAGACATCATTGGGACAGCGATCCTCTAATCGACAGTACTTTTCGGTGCGGTTTGGGTAGCACATCCGGCAACTGTGCCAAAAGCAGCCCTGGAACTCGCATACAGTGTTGATGTCGGCGTTGTACGTGTCCACGGTGTAATGGCTGTTGGAGATGCGTACTCGCTGTAGATGGATCAAATAAATTGAATTTGGTCAACGGTTCAAAGAGGCGTTTGAAAGTCAGGCACCCCTCCTTTAACAACTTGATGCCGGATTCACAGTGTTCGACCAGTTCTTTCTGGAAGTCAACCTGCGCGTTCTTGGCCAGCTGCTCATTGTGCCACTTCTCAAACTCTTTACGGCCACTCACGGACATGGACTCAGGCATGAAGAACTTCTTTTCAGGAATGGGTCCAAAATAGTCCTGATTCTCGGGGGTGTTGAAGAGATGTGGGAAGTGACCCTTCTTCGGTTCTGTCAAACCAAAGGTCTTGGGAAATGCAGACAAAGGCATTTGAGAGAAGGAGAGTCGATTAAACGAATGCGATCAAAGGTGACTTGAAGAAGTTTGGCTTCATTCCTCAGTTCTACAATCCGGTGCTGGCGATGTTATTCCTCCGTCATGAAATACCCGTCATAGCCCTGGAAATTGTGCGCGATAACCGTGACGGATTGCGTGACTTCTTCCATCAACGTATCAGGTCACTTGAGAAAATCGCGAATGCAATGTTCTCCTTTGAAGCGAAACGGACTGGCTTCTGCGGAATCGGGACAGCCCGTTTGCAGACACGTGGGACAATGATCTGTGTTGTTCTTACACGCGTATTGTCCCTCGTTGTCGTAGGGCTTGAAGCAGTGCGCACAGACATAACTGGTCCTGAAATACGCCGGGAGCGATGTAATGACATCGTAATTTTCATTCTCGTATAGCAGGGCCAATTGTTTTTCTTGGGTGATTCACTCCTATGATTGAAGGTGCTAGTTATTTGGAAGATTAGCCCACGAGGGATCAAAGTTGTCAGATTTATTTGCACTAGAGTATGCACGGTTCGTTGCGTCCGTGGTTACATCGTAGTCAACTGAAATTGAAATAATTGCGAGATAAATTACTATTTACAACATTCTCAGTTGAAGTGACAAACGATTCCGAGACTTACAATTTGTGTTCCTGAGTCGTTAGATCCCTTTGATCGCTATCTTGATGCTTACGCTTATGACTGTTGATGACTTGGCTTCGAATTCCGTTACATGATAAAGAGGTCCTTTTAGAACTGAAGTCACATGACCTATTTTTCCCACCTCACGTAGACGAGGCGATTTCGCAATTACGGACGATAATGAATTCTAATTCTTTGTTACATGCAACTGAACATGCAAGTCATTGGGGGTCCAAAGGATGTCACATGGTAGCCAGGTGCGATGTCTACTATCAGTAACTGGTAGTCGAAGAGACTGGGTGCTAGTGCAAATTTGGCAAGTTTTTCGTAACCGGACGGTCTTTCTGGCACATCTGCTTCCACATGCAACTGAATGGCATTATCGTTCTGAATGGTTCTTCAATCGTAAAACTGCTCCATTTTGGGCGACGGTTGACGTAGGCCTTGGCCGTTGCAAGGACTCTGGCACAACGCAACTCGTCCCTGTTCTCGATTTCTATGACACTTTTCTCAAATCGTTTGAATGTGGCATGGTTGCTGGGTCCCGGCTTCAACTTTCGTCTTTTACCACTACCGCGGAGTGCACTCCCTACGTGGGTGAAATATAATTGAAACAAATCATTCATTTCAAAGTTGTCGTTCCAATTTAACACCCTGTACATTTGCTGAGGCATTTGGTCTACGTGGATACTTCCGGGTAACCATTTACCGGTCAGTAATCCTTGGTAGCCATAATTATTTGTCAGACAATCGTTCGACTAGACCCGGTCGTTCTCTGGTATACAGTTAAGAATGATCAATTTCTGCAACGTCCGATGAATACCATAGGTTAAAGCTGCACCCAAATTTTGACGGGAAAGAAATTGACCCACTTGGTGAATGTTAGCTTTGTAATGGCGTTCGCGCACACCCATCTTCTCACTATGGCGGTCCACGTACGGGGTCAAAGTAAAATCGAACCAGCCAGGCTCTGAAGCATTGACGCTCCCACGAATCTCCACTTGGAAAACCACTTGACATTCTACATGGACGGGTTGAAGATCCACGAGTCATCATTGTCAACGCCCATTCCCGTCAGAATCGATCGCTATCTCCACCGTGTTCTTCATAGCCTTTGAGCAGGCTTCAAGTTGGTTTTAGAGTGAGCTAGCCGAGTGTAGTCTAGGGCGAGCGGGACGAGCCGAGAGGGGTCTGGTGGCGAGGGAGTGCGCAGGGGAGCCTGTAGACATTCCATTGATGCCGCCGTTCCATGATACCAGCTCCTGGTTTCAAGATCTGATTGGTTGAATCGATCACTGTTGACATCTTTGAGAAGCTTTGAGATAAATATTTGACAGATGTTGACAACTGCATGTAAATTTGCATAATTCTTGCCGCGACCGACAAAGATGGCTTCTGCGTGCAATGTACAGTTCGCTGACATGGAATTCGAGGCAGCTTTGAGCAATTCTTTGCAACATTTTCATCACATCTCTGGTTTGAAACATGAGCAGAAGCTATGCCTGGAAACTGTGGCGCAGAAGCGCGATGTTTTCGGAATTCTACCAACTGGTTTTGGGAAGAGTCTTATTTTTCAATAGCTGCCGTGTCTACTGAAAGACTTGAGGAAACTACAAAGTCCTTGTGTCTTAGTTGTGACGCCTTTAGTTTCTAATACATTTCCTTCTAGCGACTAGCAATGTTTGCCCCCTGACGATCCCAGAGTTCTTCGCGCAAACACGGGTGTCCGATTACTGGCAACTCATTCATTCGTACAGTTTTTGCGGAGAGTTTCACGTGACGAAAGGAAAGTTGATTGCATGACGTTAGACCTTTGTACCGGAAGTTCGAGTCTATTATAAAACAGAACTGTTTTGATAGCATTTATCCGTTGTCCACTGGAGGTATTCATTTCATCATGGCCAGCTCACAGATTCTTGTCTCATTGCTTGTGTGTGTGACACTTGTACGTTGCGAGGAACTGAGATTTCTTGTGCTCGGTGATTGGGGAGGAGAGAGTGACTGGTGGCCCTACACAACCCCGTACGAGACAGCGGTCAGTAAAGGCATGGGCAAATTAGCAGAACAGCTTGGAACGCAATTCACCGTAGCGCTCGGTAGGCATGAATTTTGTTTGTGCTAGCTAAGAGGAAAGGACGCATAAATCTTAAATTGTACCCAGTTTTACAAAATATTGCCATACATTAGACTGCGTTCCCATGGAATTTTAGAAGAATTTGAGTAATGTTATTTGGTCACTAGTAGAGCGATGATAACGAGGCTAGGGGGGGGGGGGGCAGGCCAAAGAGTGGACGCATTTTGATATTTAAGACGGCGTAAAACGGTAAGCCTCATGAAAAATGTAAAAAGAACCATGATAATCATTATTTCAAAAGAACAACAAGAACAACATGTTTTAAACGCCTAACCATATACAGGCAAATAGAATTCCTTGTCTTATTTCTTAGAAATTAAAAGTTCCAAATTTCCACATCCCGCAGTACAGGACATATGTGTATTTGTGGACCAGACGAATTTATTTCTTGTCAACCGAGAACATATGTTCCCTATACTTTTCATGATTTGGCCATGCTCCACACCAACGGAAATTAACTATTATATTTCCAGTTAATTATTATATTATAATAATTAATTCTAGTTAACCGTGACGAGAAAAAATTACCCGTTAGTCGTAGAAGGGCCAAAAATTTAGCCATTAGGCGTAAAAGCCACTACCCCATTGAGACCCTCAATAAATTGAAATTGAAATTGAAATAGCCTCAAACATCAGTCATACGCAGTCGCTTTCTTATGACTCCGACGTCACGCACCTGGGGAGGCTAAATATATACTGCCAAATTAAAGGATTTCAGTCACGTTATTTTGATTTATTTTGGTGATATCTGTAGCCTGAAGGAAATCTAAGAATAACAGTTTGGAAAACACCGAAGAGATAATAATAAACCTTAAAGGAACAAGGATGGTTAAGGATGGAGAAGATATTTGACACGACCGGATTACAAGCAACGAGTTTGAAAATTCTAGGCTAAATTTCTCAAGATGCGCAAACCGTGACGCCGCTCCTTTAAGGACGGTGCCTACTAATTGCAAAGGTTTTTGCGCCAGGTTAATAACAAAATCGTTGCAAAAGCGCTTTTAGCGTATCTGACAGCCTTCCTCTGGTTCAGCTAAAATACAGTCTTAATACCTTTCGCTCACAACCAGAAACTAATCACGTGTTGAATAGACTTGCCACTTCGATTTCATAACATAAAATGTAGGGGTAACCACGCGTTTTTTTAAGTTACTGATCTTTTTTGAAAACTTTTACGGTGCCCGTTACCTTTTTTCCTGTCACCTCCCCAGTAAGTAAGACATTTGCGTATCTCGCACTTGTTTTGCACGCGCACTACGCCATCTGCAGGTACATGTTTACAGTTGGATTTCAGAATAATTTTCGACAGATAACAGCTACGTTTTCAGCTGGAAGACGTAAACAAGTAGTGGTTAGCGATATGCTGCTATTCTGTTGTTCCTGGTGTAAGCACAGGTTCATTAAACTTGATTTGGTCACAGTAGGAAAATTTTGCTTTCATTTTAGTCGTGTACGTGATAGCGTAGTTGATTGCGTCAAATGTCAGCCCCAGCGCGCGTGTGGAGCTAAACCATGGCTTGCGTGATGCGCAGAAAGTGTGCGCACTAACAAAAGTAGGCACCGTCCTTAAGGAATGTTTTGACCACATCCTGCGGAACTCGCTCGAATCTCAATAGAAGAACCTTAGGATATAACAGCAAGGAGAATCAACCTGATTTTCACGGCCATTCTACAGTTTTTTCAGTGTTGCATTCCTCGTTCTTTCCGTGCGCATGCGACACTACAAAGTGAAAAGATAACATCAGTCAAGAATAAAGAAGGCAATAAGGCAAGCGCTCGTCATATGTGGAAACCCAAAGTTAGATGTCCAATTTCTTTCCTGCAGGTTAGTGAGGGACCCGCACTTAAAAAAAAATATCAAGATGTACTGCTAAAGATATGTACCCTGTGAGACAGAGATTGTCTTCTCTCTCTGCTCGGCGAGAGACGAGAGGGAACCTCAAAGCTAGAGAGTCAAATATTCAACAAAAAGCTTCTTTTGAACCAAGCAAATTGACGGACAAAAATGCTATCAAATGCGAGATTTTTGATCAAGCAGATTGGCTTGTTATAGGCCACTGTGGTGTGGAAAAAATTCCAAACTTGCAAATGCCCTCAAGATATGCTATGTTAAGGGAATGTGGATTACCTTATTATTTGTTCTTATACGCGACCCAAACTATCTGTAAGTTGTTACAGAACGCTAGACTGCGAGCAGTCTCTCTTTTGTTCGGAAATCCGCAGAGAAGAACGTAAAACAAGTGAACGCGCGCGCGTGACTGCGAGCGTGACATGCGAGCTGCGAGTAGCGCTACTTGCGGCTACAAGCTTCGCGTGTCACCCTCGCACGCTCACGATCACTCACTTCTAATGTTCTTCTTTACGTTTTTCTCCACGGATTTTTGAGCAAAAGAGAGACTGCTCGCAGTCTAACAAAGCGCCAACGTGTCTCTTGCTTAGAAGAGGTTCTTGGTCAAACACTCAATCGATAAGTGTTAGAGAGTATGGTCGGAAACACCACAGCTTTAAGGGAAAATAAATATATTTATCCAGTGACTTCTCTCAGGTGATAACTTCTATGACCAAGGAGTAAAAAACGTCGATGACAGGAGGTTTCAAGAAACATTTGAAGATGTGTTCACCGCCAAGTCGCTGATGACTCCATGGTATTTTTGCGCGGGAAATCATGATCACCTTGGCAACGCGTCAGCCCAGATTGCATACAGTTCCCGATCTGAGCGCTGGAATTTTCCAGCCCTGTATTACACCAAGTCTTGGACAATCCCTGGTAAGAAAATGTTATGCTCTCGATAATTGACCCTCTTTGTGGTTGATTAATCCCAATTGCCTTTCTTTTTAAGGTTCTGAGAAGGAATTGCAGTTGGTTCTTGTGGACACAGTGCTACTTTGTGGTATCACTGATGACAGCTCAATTACACAACCTGAAGGTATCATTTAATGTATCATTTAATGTCATTAAAAGAGTAATGGGTTTGGACCTAAGATAGATAGAGCTAGCTAGTACGTGCGCACTCTTGCACCTTGAACCCTTGCACAGGATATACAGGTAATGCATTGACCAAGCTTGTTCAGTCAAGATGGCTGGATATTGGCCAAGTTTTTTTTTTTTGCGTGTTTATGGACCGAGACGGAGTTGCGGTCCATAAACACGCAAAAACGAACGAACGAGGCCAATATCCAGACATCTTGACCGCACAAGCTTGGTCAATAAAGGATTTATTATATGGAAAAAGAAACACTTTTTTTCTTGCGAGACACAGCAGACAATCCCGAGCGGACAAGATAGCGCCATCTTGCTCGCTTGGGTAGCCAATCACAGCACAACACGGATCTAGCCATATAATAATTTTGTAACATCATAACAGACATGCAGCGCCTTAATCTGTAAAGGAATCTACAGAACTGGAGCTAAGAATGCTCAGAAATCATTTTTTTTTTTCGCATCAAATTTTAGGGCCTCTGTCAATCGAGGATGCCGAAACGCAGTGGGATTGGCTGGAGTCGACTCTTCGTTCATCAACAGCTCATTATCTGATTGTGGGAGGCCATTACCCAGTGTGGTCCATTGCTGAGCATGGTCCCACTAAATGTTTAGTTGACCGACTGAGACCCTTGTTACAAACCTATCACGTGACTGCCTATATCAATGGACACGATCACAATCTTCAGGTGAGTGTGTTCTTTCATCAGATTTAACGTTGAAAGGTCTCGTGTTGCATTTTTGCTGCTTTCTTTAGCCTGTGCAGCTGGTGCGCTATTAAAAAATGGCGTGAGTTGGAGTAGCGCGTAAGAACGAGAAGACGTGCGCGGGCGCAAATGAAATAAAGGAGAGCACTCTTTCTTTTTCGCAGCGATTGTCTTTTTGCTCTCTCGCGTAGCTTGCGAGCTGGCTCACGTTGGAGCACAAGCACGCGCGACGTAACCGCGAGCGCGAAATCGAGCGGCGAAGCCGCGAGACGAGAAAGTTGGCGCTCCTTCACCAGGCTCCTAATTCCCGCCGGATCGCTCTGCTCTTCGCCGCTCGAGCGCGTGACTCAAAGGAATTTTTGTTTTGCTTTACATATAACATTGACAAATGTCAATGTTATATATAAAGCAAAAAAAAAAAAAATTTATGCGGAACGCGAAAAGGCCTATGTACGAGTTTAGCGCTACAGTGTTACGCAGGACTTGAAAGTAGCGGTTTTCTCTGTAAGGTCGCGTAAGAAATAACAACAGGGGACAAAGGTAAACTACTCGTTCTTTTCATTTCTTTATTTACTCTCTTCCTATTCAACAAGATTGTGTGCTCCCTGTGGTCATCCTAGAGTTCCAAGAGTGCTTCCTATTATCAAAACAACAGATAAGGCCAGGGAAAATAATATTTAAACTATCATGAGTTGACCTAATCGTGATGCCTACTAGCTCGTCTTTTGATAAACATTTTTCCTTTCCGCCGGTCAAGACGTTCTGGTGAGGTTTCGTCTTCCAGCCTATTTCAGCACAAATGGCGCAGGTCGTTCGTCAGGTTTTCATTGAGAAAAATGTTCTGTCACGTTGCGAAACTCAGATACAAGTGTTATACGTAGTGAAATAATTGCGAAATAATTAACCTAACTTCATCCTCATCAGCTATAATCTCATAGAAGCTCGAGGTAATAATTTAATTATTAAGTAGTATCGGCAAAAGCCACTTTACTAACTCTATTCAACTTATGTCTTTCCTTATACTTGGCATTTTCCTGAATGACGACTTGTAGCACCTGAAAGAGCCGACCTCCACTGTTGCGTATTTTGTTATTGGAGCAGGCGCCATAGTAGATTACGACACTAGCAACAAAGATAAAGTACCTGAAGGTAGCTCGCTGTTTTTCTGGGCTGACTACTTCAGA